ATGATTAAACAAAATCCATAGAAAAGTACTCTAGTTTCATGACAGCTGGGAGTTGTCCTGATCATTTATGTTCAGTTTTAACCAAAATAATGCGTCACATGTCGTTTGGAGCAGCGTCACATTGAGCTGCACTCATTGACATTATTACTGAGTCATTTCGGAAGGTGGCAAATAGCGTGTAAATCAAGTTATTTGCATTAAAATACGACTAGATCGTAAGGAACGTTGTTTTTATCACATCTCACTCAGGTTATTTAAAATCATAAATCATGAGCAGTAATTCTGTTCAAGCAAATCGTTTAGAGTATCCTAAAAAATGTAAACAACATTGTTATTTCAGGTTAAAAGCAAATAATTCTTATGAAAGAATAAAAACGTATGGTGTTGTAATCTTAGTTTAATTACCATAGTAATATGAATATGAATTTAAAACTTCTCAGCACGGCTGCTCAATGGAAAATAAAGGAAATAAATTATGTTTATGAGCATTACATAAAACTTTTGACACTGTTCATTGAATTGAAAACTAATTGAGATGATTTACTGATTTTGTAAGTTCACATAAATTTATTTATATGACATTATAACAGTTGTATTATAATGTGATTTAATTTAAGGAAAATATTTCGATAAATAACACTGTATTTAAGATGGTGATGGGATGTAATCAACAGGAAACCCTGGACTTAGGTTTCATGCTCCTTGGCATTCGTCAGCAAGCTGTACCTGTAATCTTGAGGGAACTGATGCTTTCTAACTTCCTCGTCAGAGACATTACAACTGAGCTATCCGATCCGCGGCTGACCTTCTGTAGGACTGAGATGTATTTATAATTGCAACTTGGTCGATAGGATTCGATGTGCACTAAGAAGGACCTGACATACATAACATTGATTACCATCCAGTGATCAATCAATTATGAACACTGTATTTCTCGTTTTTTTTCTAATTTTCTAATTCATCCCACAAGGATGTATTCAACAGTTATGATTTGCTATGCTTTTTTATTTAGAAAGTAAAATAACTATAATGACCAAATAATCCATACTATTAAGGAGAATAGTGATGAATTTAGATAAAATCTATTTAGTTTAAAAGCGTAACATGTCAATCATTTAGATAATCACATGATTAAGAAATAATTTCTAATAAAACAAAATATTATACTGGTAAAGTAAAAAGAGGCCTTCTTTATGAAAATATCTTCATAAATTATTCACATAAAACCAATCAAATCACACTGGACGGAGAAGCTCTGGAGGATGTAAAAGCCTTTACATATCTAGGCAGCATCATTGATGAGGACGGTGGATCTGATGCAGATTTGAAGGCGCGGGTCGACAAATCATGAGCAGCATATCTACAATTGAAGGATATCTGGAAATATAAACAACTTTCAACCAACACCAAAGTCGGAATCTTCATTAAAAAGGTCAAGACAGTTCTGCTGTATGGGGTGGAAACTTGAAGAACTACGAAAGCCATCATTCAGAAGATACAAGTGTTTATTAACAGTTGTCTACGCAAAATACTTCAGATCCATTGGCCAGACACTATTAGCAACAACCTTTTATGGAAGAGAACAAGCCACATTCCAATGGAGGAAGAAATCAGGAAGAAGCGCTGGAAATGGATAGGACACACATTGAGGAAAGCACCCAACTGCGCCACAAAGCTAGCCCTCACATAGAATCCTCAAGACCAAAAGAAAAGAAGAAAAGTAAAGAATACATTACACCGAGAAATGGAGACAAATATGAGAAGAATGAACAAGAACTGGATAGAACTAGAAAGGGAAACCCAGGACAGAGTTGGTTGGATAATATTGGTCGGCGGCCTATGCTCCATTGGGGGTAACAGGAGTAAGTATAATGACTAGGAGTCTTTGAATTATAGTACGAACTAAGAATTCTAGAAATAAAGTAATCGGAACAAGAAGTACTAGATAAGCACGAACGAATGTACTGTATTTGGAATTCGAAATCAAGCATTCAACAAGTACAAAAGAATCATTGGTTCATTCAAACACCATAGTAAGTGAGGAAGTAATTATTCACTATTGTGAATGTGAAATATTAGCTATAAGTTTGTTAATTTTATAATTTCACAGATTAATAAATTAAATTTCGCCATGAAGTCAAATTAATCAAGTATGGAAATTTCGGAATTACAATTGTTTGTGTATGTATTACCCTGCAAGTAAATTTTGAATGATTTTTTACACCAGGAGGCAGCACACAATTGAATTAAAATTCTTAAGAATAAACGTGAATAATAATTCATATTGGTATACTTTCATATCCAATGTGAATAGATTAACCGACCACTGAATTTAACAAATTATAATGCTAGGATTCAGTTTCAATGTTTGACTTTCAAAGTGATTCCGTTTTATTATAGTAATACCATTGATGTCTGACTGTTGCTCCAGTGCTCTTTATCAACTAATTAATCTAAGTACTTGATCATTCAGGTTAACAATCGGTAAAGTTTCATCAGCATAAATATCGCCGAATAGAGGAATTATTCTCTTTTCATGTTTCCTACTAAATGAAAAGATTGAAAACTTCGTAATTCACTCCAGTTTATTTCAATTAATGAAATTTTAGTACCAGTTGAATTGACTTATTTTAAAACAAATGAAAAGACTATTTATTTCTGCTTAAATTAATGATTACAGACATGATTTAATACAAAACAATTTTTGGATGAATTCAATTCTTGTTTCTCGGACTGTATCATTATTTCGGCAGACATTATTTATAAATAAATATAACGGCATTTACAAGTCTATTAAGGATATAAATCTTTCGGTTAGTGCTCATCCTGAACAGTGACAGAGATCAACGTTATTTTACTAAATAAATAAACAATCGTTTGATTCAGTAAGGTTATTTTAATATGATAAGCTGCACTGATTCCTTATAAAGTCTTTAAATCTATATATGACTTAAAAACCATCAACACATCATATTTGTGTATTAATATACATTCCAAGTGAGATTACCGAGGTTGTATCACAAAGAGGATAGTGAATTGAGTGAATACAAATCTCTAATTATATTTTTATTGGTCTATATATTCACTACAATATTTTTCATTAAAAATATCGATTGAATGAACTCAAACTCTAAGTTAATTACGTTTGTTGATAAATTCTGTAAAAGTTATTTACAAAAGCAATCCTGTGTTTTGTTTAGAAAATGGATGATAACTCTGACTGAAGAACAGTGTTGTGGTCGGTATTCAATATAACCCTTAAAATTCCTATAGAGTTTGACCTGATAACCGTCACTAGATATCACCCCAACGGTGTATTAATCAGAAGGCAAATACAAAGTGTTGATTACGTTTATTATGGGACCACACACAGATATCCAAATTACGGGTACGTTAAGCAAGCATGAAAGAGTAGTACCGAAAAGCTAGCAGGCAAGTGAGCGAGCGAGTCAGCAAATACGAGTACGAGTAAGTGAGTGCAATGAACATGGATAAAATGTACATATACATATAGTTCTCTTTATCGTATGAAGAGAGCAGAGATTTGAGTAGGATAACTTGAATTCGTTTTATTTAGCTTGATTCTCATCAGCTATATACAAACTGTAAGGTTCGAAAATAGTAATTACGAAATGGGTTCAAATAACTTACATGAAAGAATTTAGGTGAAAGTTACTTTGAATAATTTTTCTGATACTTAAAAAAATCTAAGTACAGAAATAGATTCATATTACAAAAGAGTTAAATAAAATCCTATCAATTTCTTAGTAGCTACAAGGTTCTATTTTAATATTACTACGTGTTATTAAACGTTGTTGTTGACCAGCGCCTTGGTATTTTACTAATCAAAAAAGTGTTTTTAAATTATTGATTGAAATATAATGAAGATACTGTTGTGAACGGGAACAAAAATAGGGACAACCAAATGTATTTCAAACACACCATTACAGAATAACTTGGTGAAATCTATGAATCATACAATCTGTACTTCATTTGCAAAATATTCATCAACTGTCTTAGACTTTATTGTTACTTCACTTCCTCAGCATTCATTCTTTGTTCTTGTTCTATTTTCTTAGATTTTTCCAACCTTTGGTCGTCAAGCATTCCACTTTCGATTGGTGTTACACAGTACTTATATCTGTCAACATACCAAAGTACTATTTGTAAAATTAAGAATACAATTAAAAATTCAACAATAGTAATTAAACAACGAAAGAGTAATCTTTTTTAAAATATGATTAGATAATTTTATGATCATTTATAAGAATGCTATTAATACATGCCTATCTAAATCAAATAAAAAAACTGTACTATAAGTGATGAATTTATTTTAATGCAAAATTAAAATGCCATAGATAATTATTACATCAGCATTTTGTCTAAGATTGATGTACACACAAATAATCACTAATAACACACATTTAAAATATATCATGCAAATAAAAATGGATAGTGGTTAGCAATGAAATTCAGGATGTACGTTTCGTCCTATTTGGAACTCGTCAACTGAATGTAACTGCATCACAGAATTGATATTCAGTCCTGAACTCAAATCCAGTACCGTTCGTTTCAAACGCCATGACACTATCCATATCAAATAATAATATAAGTAATATAAGTACATCTAGCTGACGAGTCGTAAATAAGATAAAATGTGCATCATACATTCCACTATTAACCACCATCCATCTTTACTTATCATACTTGTCATTGAAAACAATGTTGAACTAATTCGCACAGTATACACATATGTTAATAAGTGGTTGTTCAATGAGAAGATTCAAATAAAACAATATCAAATGAATGTATTATGCAAATAATTTAAACTAGCCAATCAGAACAAATCGAATTCTAATCAACCAATCAAATAATTCCTTTTCTTATTTAATAAATTATTTTTTTTTTTAAAAATGTAAAATAATATTATTTTTTTTAAATAAAATTTATTTGAAACATTAAGAAAATTTCATAGTTTCCATGTTAATTATTTTTAAATAATGAATATGACATTAGATAATTATAATTCAACTGAATTTATTCAATCATCATCTATAATTAAACAATCAAATACTCATCCTATAGATACAAATAATATAGATAATGTATTTAATATAACATCATGTATAATAATCACATTTATGTTTTCATTAATTGTTATATTTTCAATATTTGGTAATATATTAGTTATGTGGATTATATTAAATAATCGTAGAATGCGTACAATAACAAATTGTTTTTTATTTAATTTATCAGCAGCTGATTTATTAACAATATTTCAAATTATACCAAATGTTTATTATGTATTACAAAATGATTGGATATTTGGTATTGCTTATTGTAAATTTTCACAATTTTTTACATCATTTAATATAGCTATTAGTGTATTTACATTTATTGCAATTTCATCGGATAGGTAAGTTTTTTTAGTAGTAATATTATTGATTTTCTTCAAACAAAAGTTGAAATCACGAATGGATTTATGTTACATAATAACTGAAATCTGTTAGTACTAGAGAACTCTTTAGTTTTGATGTGGAATTCTTTTAGAAGTGTACGTTTACGAATATGCAACTTGAAATTGAATGTAAGACATTCGGTTTGGTTTATGGAACATTTAACATCTAGATAACTGAGCTAAGATCCAATGATGTGCAACTGACATTGTAGATATCATATATATATATATAAAACTATGAACTACTTCCTAATTTTTTTCGTAGGCGATGATAGATAGTGGCTAGCAGTGGAATCTAAGACGCGCGTTTCGTCCTATTTGGGACTCGTCAGCTGGATGTACCTGCATCTCAGAAATGACGTTCACTCTGGGACTCGAAACCACTACCATCTGCTTCAAACTCCATCGCGTTATCCACTGATGGATTGTAGTCTTAAACCTCAATGGGAAGATACAAGCCAAAACAATAACAAGTGAATTTAAATTCTGAGATCCAGGTAAATCTAGCTGATGAGTCCCAACTAGGACGAAACGCTCATTTCGGATTCCACTGCTAGCCACTACCCATCATAGCTTACAAATAGCTTGTGAATTAAGGTAATATTGATGCATACACACAGTATGTACATATGCCGATAACAGACTGATCAACTTCAGTCTTAAACCTCAATGGGAAGATACAAGCCAAACAATACCAAGTAAAAATTACTTTGTAATTTGTCATGAAAATAACATTTAGTATATACAATGATAAAAAGTTACAAAATCACTTACAGTTTGTGACACTTTTGAGTGTTATGCATTCAGTGTCATACTTCTAACTCTGCACTTTTAAAAACTATTTTATTTACAACCACACCTTTTTATCTGATTGTCAATTATAAGTGTAAACGACGACAAAACTGAAAATATTATATTATGAATATTTTACTTCCCAGTTTAAATAATGTAATTGAGATCAGATTTCTTATAAGAATTAAGAGGAGTGTTGATAATGAAATCCTGAATTGTTGTAGAAACATTTATTATTTGAATCCATATAGAACGAAATAAGAGCCCTTGACTCCAATGCTACTAATATCCATCTGTAATCAAAATATTAGAAATATTTCCTCTCATTGTAGTAAAATTAATATCTATATGAAAGTTATTCTGAAATGTTAATGAGTTCACAAAATAAAATAATCATTTGTTTTCATTTTAATAAACTGTATTACTTCTGAATTCACTTGGTAATATTTTACTTGAATCTTCTCATTGATGTTTAGAACTGCAAATGATTAGTCTCTTAGTGACATATTGTACATATTGTGTGTGTTGCCTCAATATTGCCTTAATTTACTTATACGACGAAACGCCCGTCCTGGATTTCACTGCTACCCATTATCCAACTTCGTTTATGATTGTATTACTCTTAATTCTTATTAAACATAACAAATAAAACATCATAATCTAATGTGATCATATAAGATTAATTAACTGAAAGGGTATTGTGAATAAGATTTGTTTGAAACAACTTTGTCACAAGGAAGAAAAGAACTGTCAGTTTGTTGAAGGAAGAAAAAATGTAAAATTTCAAACATAACTAAACAATAAATAAAAAATAAAATGAACCCATAAATGAAGTGTATTTTGTTGGACATTACTCATAAATAATACATACCACTGAACTTTTTAAAATGATTAATAATTCGCTTTTGTATCAACGAAATATCAGGAGATGTCTTATATATATCGATCGAAAAATGTCAAGGTAAAGAAATTTATCCATCTTTGTACAAAAGATCTATTTTACTAAGTAATAACTTGACTAAAACAAGGTTCCTTGACTTAAGTGTTTGAAAGTATCAAGATCAACATAAAACATGACAACTGTTACTTTAACCTTGAGTTATTTGATACCTGTATACTACTGAAGTGTACCATATTGCGATAATATTGTTACGTAATATTTTATGGTATTCAATAAAATTCTAGCAATTAATAATATGTGATGAAAAATACATTTTAAGCTCAAACAGATCTATTATTCTCTCTTATAGTTACATATGACATTCGACGAATATGATTACTATCTTAATAGGACTAAGTTAAAATATTTATTATCTAAAATTAAAAAAAATCTAAGAAAAAAATTTACATTCTAGTAAACTAAGAATCACTTTCAGTAGGGTTTTCGTGGATATTATAGTTATTTCAGTGGTTGAGATCATGAAGTTTGGCGCTCGCGTGCGAGACTGATAGGTCCTGGGTTCGAATCTCGTGAGGCGTGATCGTAGATGTGCACTGCCGAGGAGTCCCACAATAAGACAAAACGGCTGTCCAGCGCTTACAGATTTTCTATGATGGTCTAGCTTCAATTGACCCTTAAGAATTAATCATAAAATCGAATTCCAAATAATTAAGTTGTATTTCGGAAATAGTTTATAATACAGTTTATATATACATGAGGGATTGAATCAGAGTTCTATTTTATTACTAACAATTATTGTATATTTATAGTTATTTTGTAAGTGATAATATACCAATTAAATAAATTAATTGTAAAGTAATAATGCCATTAGTTCAACACAGTTTACATTTCAATAGTTGAATTCATGAGATAATTAAAGGTGAACCACCATAGAAAACATGTAAGCACTGGACGACCGTTTCATCCTAGTATGAGACTCCTCACTAAATATTTATCGTCATGGTCGATCAAAAAAAAATAAGAAACAGAAACTCGCTGAAATACTTTGTGCTGAGAATTCTATACTGTACTAAAAATATAATATTGAATAATGCTAATAATAAATAAATAAGTAAATATTAGCTAACTAACAATTATTCCTAGCATTAATTTATTATTTTCGACACAAGGACAATTGTAAGGATAGTACGTCAATATACTTGAAAAACATACAAATAAGCAAACGATAATAATAATGCACAAATGCATCAGATATCCTATGAGATAATTATATGATTTTATTTAAAATCATCTGATTACATCATTGATGTCTAATATATTTTGACTGCTTACTGAAAATGACAGTATTGATACAGTAAACACAGTCATTTTAGACATTCTACTTCAATTGCTGATATCGTGGTGTGTGCTACTGATATCGATAGACATAAGTGATATAAAATACTTGGAGGCAGTAGGTTAATAAGATCGAAGAAAAGAGAAGGAGAATACAGAATGATTGTTGTAGAAATGAAAGAACAATAAAGTCTGAGACGATTGATTGATATTTTGCAGATTTTACTGTAAGATTCTATTATTTTGTGTTCAAATACATTAGATTATCCCCATTTGTATTCTCGTTCACTACAAAATCCTTATGAATAACTAGACAGACCAAAAAAATAATTTTTAGGAAATTAAAATTTTTTTAGAAAGCTTGTTTTATAGTTGTATTTCACAAGCGACTATTTTGTCAGAATAATCATACAATTATATTTTCATGAATACCAACTCAATTGTGCAGTTTAAACGAATGGTGAAGTAGCAATAGCAACTTGATATCAAAATATCTTACAATTACCATTTGCTTTCTTTTCTACACTTTACAAATAAATACAAAAATGTGTTTGTAATATGAATCTATATTTTCATAGAACTAAACTACATCTTCAAAATGAGAAACGTTTTATTTTGTTACCAAACGTATATAGAGTAAAAAAAATCAATAATTAGAGGAGTATAAAACATCTCATCCAAAGTTTGATGTCTTGTATAATAAAGAATATTTGACCAATTATGTAATTGAATCATTGAATCACTAAATTGAACCGAAAAAAACAATCAGTTAGAGGTCGTTTTCATACAAACTAGTTCTAAATAACATTGTTACTGTTGTCTGGCGTTACGATCATTAATATGAATAAGATTTTTTGAAATTTCAGTTGCTTCGTCTCAGTGTAATTATCATTGATAAATTAGTACTGAAAAATTCTAAAGTAAAAATTCTTTGTTAGCGTATTTCTTTAATAATAATATTAAACTGTTGAGCTTCATGTTTCCAAGATAAAACAAAAAGTTTAAAAACTGTTCAATACTTAATCAGTTCTAGCTAGACCATTATTAAAAACCTAGGAAAACTGGACAACCATTTCTTATTATCATAAACCATCTCAGGAGTGTACATTGACTACTCCACGATTGTGAATGGAATTCAGTACATTTTGTTTCATGTGCAAATGATTAACGTTTATAGCGCTGAAACTGGATCCAATGATTTGCATATTTATATTATTGTTGGTTTCTATTTATAAACTGTTGAACATCCAGATGAAAACATTGTCCCAGATTATTTTTCCACATTTCATTTTTTGTCGCTTCTGTTAAACGAGACAGCGAGTATTTTCCTTTAAAAATCCTACACATTTAAATATCTATATAACAGTTGTTCAATCGTTTTTTTAATTATGCTGGGTTATTAATCTAGTGTCAAATACAAAACTGTCCATGGATATCTATCTAAATAAATGATTGAATACTTTATTATGAGCAACATTTTTGCATGAAGTTTAATGATCCCCCTTATATATTCAAGCTTCTTTTTTACCTTTGATATGAATGTAAATTATTAAAAAGTCATTTCGTATACATAAACCATCCTTGTCGGGTAGAGACAGGTATCTACCTCAGTACAACGGAAGTTGGTCGCGCAATTTCGTGGATTGGTTGATGTTAGAAACTATCACCATTGGATGCCGGCTCAGTGGTCCAGTTGGTTAACCGTTCGCGCGCGCGAGACCGAAGGCCCTGGGTTCGAATCCCGCTCGCGGGATCGTGGATGCGCACTGCTGAAGAGTCCCACAATAGGACGAAACGGCCGTCCAGTGCTTCCAGGTTTTCAATTGTGGTGGTCTAACATCAATCGGTTCATGATCTCAATCAAAAACTTAATAATCTCCACAACCCCTATACTAGTAATCATATGATGTTTCCTTGTGTATATGAAACA